CAGTCTTCTAGAAAATGGAAAATTACAACTGAAGGACAAAAACCCCTGTTTTTGAGGCTGTTTTCCAAATTACACTCAAATTCATTTTCATCACTTTCTGCATCTCCTAAAAACAAACATTTGCCATTTAAGTGGCACTTAAATGGCTTGCTATGTATTATTTGGCCCTCATATATTGTCACCCTAATTGTTTTGTAGTACACTCAGCTTCACAATTGCCACCTGTGACACAACACAAATGCACCATCTAATCCCCAACCTAAGCTAGATAGACACAGCTGTGGCTACCAGAGTCCAAACCACCAGGAGCTGGGAACAGCACAGAAAGGGTGTGGCTTCCATTTCACAAGCAGCACAATCCAAGGACTGAGAGTATCTGGGCTTCATAGCCTCCAGATCCGGAACACACAGTCCAGCCACCAGAAGCACAAGTCACCACTCCATAACTTAGTGGGGGAAGGACTAGGCTACTGAACACATCAAATCAGACCGAAACTGCCTGCGTTAATAAAAACATAATAATCTCAAATGCATTTGTATTTGACAATTTTTTTATTAAAATAAGTTTCAACTCCTTGGCTACATTATCACCTAACATGAAAAAAATGAAAACAATTCTGTCAATGAGAAAGGCAAAGTTAGTCTGGGAGTAAAAGTTTGCCATGTCTCATAAGTGAAAAATAATTGAAAATTTTTTATAATTATACATATTTGAATAAGACATTTTTTCCTTATTCTTTTTATAAAACAATTGGCAAGATTTTAAACTATTCTGGTTAGATAATGTTGAGTTGAAATATTTTTTTGTTCAGATTAGACTTACTTGAATAAACCCAACTTTTAATCAAGACGAAAAAAATGTTACATGTATCAAATCATTATGTTGTACACCTGAAAATGATGTTATGTCAATTATATCACAATTAGAAAAAAGTATGAATGGCAAAGCCATAAAGACAACACTTAACCTCTCTCTCAAAAAAATGAATAAATGGGAAGTCTGAAAAATGTAACTAAGATTTTGTTTTTATAATTATTAAATACTTTAACACTTGTCAACAGTGTGTAAATGCTTGCTGTGTTATAGAGGTAAAAATGTCTGTGCTGGGTTATCAGGAAAGGGAAAAAGAAAAAGACTGCTCTTCTTAATTAATCAATTCATTATTACTACCTCTACTTTTATACAATTATTGTAGATTATCTTTAAATGACTTTTTTTTTTAAAGTATGAGGAACATATATATAGTAAGTCTGCTCCTTTTTATATTGAGCAGTCAGTTGTAATTAGGGTTTAAAGTTACTGTAAGATAAAGATCGACACACAAAGTTGGTGTTAACAAGTTGACAACACTGCAATTTTAAGTGAGATTACGAGGTATGCCAGTATGGATTTATTAACTTATGAGGCAATCACGTTTTAACAGCATTAAAAAAAGACACTGAGTATTAGGAGGTTTAAATCACAAGGGATTTTTCTTAGCTGCTAAAGAAATGATTAGATGAAAGCCCTCTCTCATTCAAAAATATCTACTTTAATTCCATGATTCAAAAGACAGTGGTTTAAAAATGAAAGTGTCCAATTTCTTCTGGTTTCCACTGTAGGAACTACTGGTTCATCAGGAAACTAGGTGTTTATTTAAAGTTATCTACCATTTGTGAGGTGAAAAAAAAAACAAAAACAAAAAAGGAACTGAAGCGATTAAGACTAGAAACATTTTCTTTTCATAAAATGTCTGTAACATATTAAAACATAGGTCTGACCAGCATGTCTGAATCCACTTCAAAAGTTTATATAAAAATAGTTAAGTAAATTAACTCTTCCTAAATATTACAGCACACTTAACTTCTACGTACCTGGCTTCATAACTACAAGATGCAATTTCAGCCTTTGACAAAACAGACTCAATTCCATTTGTTTGTGCAGAATCTTGATTCTCCCACACTGATGAATCGGGTATATCTGCTTTAAAAATAATAAAATTTAATGATTACATGTTAAAAGCTGGTTTTCTTTAACTTTCATTCAAGAAATATATTTTCCATTCCTTTTCTATACAAATAAATTTATAAAAAATAAATTTATGTAAGTTTAATCAATTCCAAATACATCTATCTCCATGATATTTATCTCCTTATTTAATAAAAGAAAATCTGTAACTCTAAAATGGTTTACTTCCATTAAGTTCTTCCCTAGCAGTCAGATAAAAACTTAGAATAAACTGAAAATATTGTTTTAGTAATAGTTTTTAAAAAACATATCAAAAGATAAATATAAAATGTCCCCTGAATCCAGTCTCCTGGGATGGACAAGGATGGAAAGTGATGGGGAAGATGAACCCCTCCTATATAGCCTTAGAAGGATTATACAGCTCTTGGTAATGAGAAACTGTTAATGGAAAATATAAATCTCTCTAAATGTTCTTTGTTGTTTCCTAAAAGAACGATCTGCAAAACTTAAAGCTAATTAACAACATGTTCAACAAACATCAAATTCCTACAAGTCATTTGATCAAACAGTAATTTAGTAGGTCACATACCATAAAGAGGTTTCATCCTAAATTTAAGACTTGTCTTTGGAATATTCATCAGGTTAAAGTGCGTCACATTATTCCCCACAAGGAAATTCTACTTTTCGATTAGCAATGTGTGTTGAATGCAATATATTCAAGTGTGATCCAAATACCAACTGCTTTATAGAATACAAGTCTAGCCTGAATAGTACAGCTCACCAATATCCCTTCACATCCCAAACAAAACTACAGCTTTAAACAGAATATAAAAGCACACAACGCAGAGAGCTACAGACTGCAGCCACCTCACTTCCTTTACCACCGTCAGCTTCACTAATAATTGAGAAAAGGATGAAAACACAACTTTGGTTATAGGTCTCTTGGATATGACTATTAAATTCCAAGAACAATATGCTTTAAAAACAGTTCTTAAAAACACAATCTCAGACACAGCTCTATTATGAACACAAATACCATTAGTTAGTAAAACAAGACCAAGATACACCACGTTAGCTAATTTTAGACAAACCTATTTTGAGTACATTGCAATAATATACATCTGACAAACTCTGTATTTTCTATTTGAGACATAATTCCAAGAAAAATCAGCCAAGTTAAAGCATCACCAGAAAAACATGGCAAAATGTCTGGCTTTTTGGGCTAAAACAGCTTTTCCTGGTTTGACTCCAGTAGTGGACATCGTTTGCCCAACTACGCAGTCCATACAAGCGTTTCTGGATTCCAGCACCCATACACGTAAAGCGTAAATGCAAATCTAATTCTGAGGACTGGCACCTTAATGAGGTCAAATGCCACATGCATGAAAACTAAAAACAGCTGAGTATATAATACAAGCTATGATTTTTGATATATTGAGACTAACATATACTTACTTACTATAACAAATTAAAGACAGAATGCTGAGCAGACTAGCCAGTGTTTCTGAACGGTCTTGGAAAGCTAAATAAATACCCCCTTTAATAGTCCATTATTCTAAGCTGACAATCTTTAAGAATTTCAGGATTGTGAGTGTCATAGTTCAAGAGGTTGCTACTAAACCAAAATAATAATAATAAAAAAAGAGCTGAAGCTTGAACAGCAACAACTAGCTGCCTTTCAAAAAGGTATAACCATGAGTTATGCATTAAAAGCTGGGGGGCTAGGTGATTTCTATTTGAAGGGCTAGTTAAATAAGATTCTTGTCTTGAAAATTACAGAAAACCATGCTTGAGGTGAGAACAGTGTCTGAGGTCCCTGCGCTCCCAACGCCCTGCCGGAGAGGCAGCGCCTCGGGTCCCTCTGGCTGGGCTGGCTGACCTTTTCCACAGTGCAGCAGAGTGCGTGGGTCCCTCCACCAGCGCAGTGAGTTGCTTCAAGGGAGATTCGGGGAAATGCAGGGACACACTGTCCTCACTGGAGGGCAAAGTAGAGAACTGCTCATCAAAACTTGACAAACTAGACGGACACATGGAGAAGGTGGAGGAACGGTTGGAGAAATCAGAGGCCGGGACCCAAGTCTGTGAAAAAGAAATCGCTGAGAATAAATCTATAGCTAGTACGATTTTAAAAACTGTTGTTCTTTAGAATGAACACTGAAGGGCTAGGAAACATGTGCATCCAGGAATCCAGCCATGAAATCTCAAGTAAAAATGGATTCCAGATAATGAGGTCATCAATGAGAAGTATACTGCTGAGCTCTACTCAGGAGGCAGCCAGCTACCAAAGGAAGCCACAGATGGAGAACCCCTGCTTGCACTGTCTGTTCGACAAAGAGTTTCTGAATACGACGAATAAGAAACTAAAGCTTCTACAAAGGGCTAAAGATGCTACTCGTTCTAATACTTTGCTAGACATATAAGCCAAAATATTAGAATTGGATTTATTTATTTTTTTAAAAGCTAGTGTGAAGAAGCTCAAGATTTTAATTCCTAAGTTGATCCTCAATATTTTTAAATTTGGTATCATACCTAATAAGGATCCAGACAAAGAAAGATAAGGAATAAAAATGAAAAAAGAACAAAGGCACTTAAAAAACAAGTTCTATCTACAAGCTTAGTTGCAACCAAACTTTATAATACAGGGCAATCTATTCACTTTACATGTGGCAAATATTTGGGTAAGCTCTAAATGGGCCAAAAGGCTTAGGACATAAAAGTGATGACATCAAGTTAAAGAAAGAATATAAAATACAAAGTATCATATTCACCTTTTCTAGAGACAGGAAAATCTATTTTGATAGTTTTCAATGGCAAGTGAAATTTCAGTAGATTCTCCTAATATTTACCTTTTGGCTTACCACCCACACTAGAGGTGGAGGGATGTGAATTATAAAAGGTCATTACAATGTTATGACAATCCAGAGGCTAAATTGATGAAGACAATTAAGTAACCAGTGACAGTAAGTATCCTGTTAATAAACTGTTTATGGTTAGACCATTTGTGATGGAAGGAAAGACATAAAGAGGACTGGCTCTGTGTTACTCCTAAGAAGCGTGCGTTTGCCAAGGCCAAACTCCAGATGCAGACTGCTGACACAGGATGCGTGCAGCAAACACAAGATTCTACCCACTGGAGAAACTCTGAGCACTGAGTAACTGAGAGATGTTAATGAACAGTTATGCATATAGAACTTTTTCCTTCTTTCGACCTTCATTAAGTTTTTACTGAGTGTCCAATATGTGACAAGTATTGTGTATTTCCTCAAGCTACTATTGTTGTGTAGAACTTAAGATTTCATCTCTGAATAACGTCACCAGAAAAATCAAAGGGAAAAACCAACCTACCACAAACCATACTATCAATACTTAAGAAATTACCCATATTGTCAAATATGTGCTAAATGCCAATGAACTCAATATTAATCAAGATCTACTCATGACACACAAAATGCTAGAATCTCAAAAATCTCTTAAAAGATTTAAAGACCAGGAAAAGCTTTAGGAAATTTGGAAAACACGGATACACATGAAGCATAAATATGTATCTATAATTATTTTTTTTGTACTTATTTCATGTAAACAGATGATCAAAACGAAAGAACTGTAATCCCCAAAAAGGTCCATAGCGATGTCCACAGACTTTCCTTTGACCTTAATTTCACGGAAATCACTGCTAAAATAAACTCAAGGTTTTATAACTGAAAACTAGGTACCTGAAATAATTGGGCTGAAATTTAACAACATGCCTTCTATTCCACTGTATATCTAATTTCTGACTACTTTCTGATTAGTATTTTCCTGAAAAACTAGTTTAAAAATATTTTTGTTTGGCTTTGCAGACATCCATGAGGAAACTGGTCAATTTCAAAGAATTTAATTTCTAAGCAAATATTTCTCATGGAATGCACTCGGGAGAAAAAAAGATATGAAAATCTTAACAGTATTGTGATTAGTATAAATTTATGATTTTTATTTATTAATAGCCAAAATTTAAAGGCCAGAGAATTATGGAAATGTTTCTCATATGAAATAGGTTCAAGAAAGGTATGGGGAATGAATGCTGGTATTTATCTTCTTATTCCAATAAACTAAGTTTCTTACTGCACTGTCTTACACAAATATTTAGCAACACAAACTTCAGCATCTTTACTGTGATCAGTGGCCAAACAAACAACAATAAACTCTCAAGTCTAGGAGCTTCCACAAAATAATGTCCATGATTTTCATCCTAATCTAAATTTATACAAACTAATCACACCTTTTTAAACATTCTTTACTCTCTGTCCCAGGAAAATATCATCATCCAATTCAACAAAGCATAACTATAAACCAGTCGTTTGTGTTATTACTTTTGGATTTTGCTTTGTCACTGACATCCTTAAAACCCTCAAATAAAAAAGCTAATTATTTCAACTCTGCTTTCATTTATGTAGCAATACCAACAGTAAAATCCAGAAGTCTTCAACAGGAGCACTATGACTTCGAAGAGAGCTCATTATGTATACCTGCTTTTCCTTTCAGGATTTTATTCTGGTAATATTGCCACTCCAACTGGGGGTTAGCGCCAGGACGTAAAGGAGCCCTTCCTGTGCCTCTGTTACTTGTAACAGCCACTGGTTTTCCTGTGGTGAGGAAAAGAATAAAATTATTTTCAAATCTAACAGGGATATTAACAACATTGACAGCATGTAAAGGAAAGTTTTTCATAAGATTTTTAAAATATGACATTTTTTCTTTAGCTTTATTTAGGCATTAATCCATAAAGGAGCTATTATCTTTAAAGATGATCAATCATCATGCACCGCCCCCCCAAAGTTAACTATTCATGATAATTTTGATGCATTTATTCAACTTGAAAGCAACACTATCCCTTAACTTTCCACGACTTTTATTTGGTTTCTTACAGTTGGAAAAGAGGTAACTCAGATCCTAGAATCAGACTGGAAGGGTGGGGAGAGAAAGAAAAGCTAACTATATTTAGATTTTTAATATTTCTGGTTATCAAAAAAGTAGGGTAACATCTAAAATAATCTTTAATTTTACAGCAAGAAACACAAATTAAATATATATGCAGAGGAATCACAATCTGACCTACTGTATAATGCAATGTGAGTACACAGTTCTCAGTTTTTGGTTTAGTTATAAAACTTTTCATGTATCATTTCCCTGTGTGTAAGTTACAAGATAACTATAACTTCTAAAGCAATACCATGAAAAATTTATATATATTATATTGAATGCACTGTTTTAAGGAAAAAAGAAATGCATCAAAAAGTCACTCATGGGATAAAATCCATTCTTTAACATTCTAAATACTCCTTTCAGAGCTGAAGTTGCAATCACTCAAGACAAAAATTAAGCCCCGGTATTAACCCCAGGAGCCTCTGTGCTTTCCTTAAAGGAAGAACTGACTCTCCGAAGAAAATGCTAACAGTTACATCTTTCAGACATAGAGAGAACCACTGAAAAAATCCAGAATAAGTATTTTAAAAAGTGCTGATTAGCTCACAAGTATCTAAAATTCCATTAAAACAAAGACTGCACAGATGACAACTATTTTAATGGTATTCAGTAACAGAGTCACTCTTCAATCAAAAAGTTGGAAAGTTCACCCTATACAGGACAGTTGTTTATTCACAAGAAAGCCTAGTGACTCAAGTAGCAAAGGCAATACCATAAAGTTCCCATTTATTAACAAAGTAATAGTAAATATAAATAAAAAATATAGAAAATGCCTAAAGCAGGTCCCCGCCTACATTAGTCTTAGATGACACAGCCTTCAGCTAAAGATGAGTGTTCTTCCTTAAAGATCCGATTTCTATAGGGAGAAAAAAAACTTTCTAAATTTCCCTACATCGTTCTTAATGAAAATTTTGAAGCAGGAATTGATTTTGCCAAGGAAAATTAGAGTAAATACTTCCTTAAAAAGATTTTGTGATCCCTTAGAATATATATTTATAAGAATATATCAATTTTCTTAAAACGTAAACAAGAATACAGACCTTTGAGATCTGGTCTATTTCGTATACCCACTGATACAAAGAAGCAATCCATATCAACATGCATTATACAGCTCTGATGTCTGGGTGAACTCAATACTGACATATTTCCTAGAAGGAAAAAGAGAATGTTCAAACCCCAAACTAATTTTTAATATATGTATAAAAAAATAAGGTCTAGTTAAATTTTATAAATTATGTTTTTAAAAGCTTACAAATAGATTGAAGTCTTAAAAAACATAGAATCTATTAGATTATCTTCTATCACCTCAAGAAAAGTCAAATTTCAGTTTGTTTAGCTCTAAAAGTAATTCAGAGATCAGAGTGAGCTTCCAAACATAATTCTAATCAATTCTGAAGATACCATGTTTCCTAATCTATATTCTAATACCGTATTTCCCCATGTATAAGACACACCGTTTTTTGAAAAATTTGGGGTCTAAAAACAGGGTGCGTCTTATACAGTCGTTGTATGACTGCAAAAACAAGAGCAAAAAAAGCGGGAAATGCAAGTAAAAAAAAATCTACAACCACTGTATAAGACTCACCGTTTTTAGATCCCCCCCCTTTTTTTTTAAAGGGTGCGTCTTATACATGGGGAAACACGGTAATTAAGCCTCTAATTTAAAGTTTGCCTAAATACTTATCTTAAAATTATTTCTGTGTGCAATTTTATAAAGATATCTAAAGGTGTTTTCATATATTTAGCTAGATGGAGCTAAGTAACTTTAGATGGAGACTATCCCAAACAAAAACTGCTACTATTTATTGTTGAGTGCTTGGCAGGTGTCGGCCACCGCTGTTTCAACAGCACTATGAAACAAGTAATCCTATTATCCCCATTTTTACAGATTAATAACTTGCCTAAGTCATACAGCCAGAGGCTGAGCTGGCATCCAATCCCAGGCAGTCTGATTTCAGAGCCCTCAAATCACCACCCTATTGTTCTAAACAGATAAACTTTAAAATATAATCTATAAAGCAAAAATCTGTGTATAAATTCTCCTAATGCCATTAAATACTATTAAAAATCAGCTTTGGGGCCGGCCGAGTGGCTCAGTTGGTTAAGAGCTCGCTCAA